CATGCCACAGCATCTCAATCGGATTGAGGTCAGGACTCTGACTGGGCCACTTCAGAAGGTGTATTTTCTTCTGTTTAAGCCATTCTGTTGTTGATTTACTTCTATGCTTTGGGTCATTGTCCTGTTGCAACACCCATCTTCTGTTGAGCTTCAGCTGATAGACAGATGGTCTTAAGTTCTCCTGCAAAATGTCTTGATAAACTTGGGAATTCATTTTTCCTTCAATGATAGCAATCCGTCCAGGCCCTGACACAGCAAAGCAGCCCCAAACCATGATGCCCCCACCACCATACTTCACAGTTGGGATGAGGTATTGATGTTGGTGTGCTGTGCCTTTTTTTCGCCACACATAGTGTTGTGTGTTTCTTCCAAACAACTCAACTTTGGTTTCATCTGTCCACAGAATATTTTGCCAGTACTACTGTGGAACATCCAGGTGCTCTTGTGCAAACTGTAAACGTGCAGCAATGTTTTGTTTGGACAGCAGTGGCGTCCTCTGTGGTATCCTCCCATGAAATCCATTCTTGTTTACTGTTTTACGTATTGTAGATTCGCTAACAGGGATGTTAGCATTTGCCAGTGACTTTTGTAAGTCTTTAGCTGACACTCTAGGATTCTTCTTCACCTCATTGAGCAGTCTGCGCTGTGCTCTTGCAGTCATCTTTACAGGACGGCCACTCCTAGGGAGAGTAGCAGCAGTGCTGAACTTTCTCCATTTATAGACAATTTGTCTTACCGTGTACTGATGAACAGCAAGACTTTTGGAGATACTTTTATAACCCTTTCCAGCTTTATGCAAGTCAACAATTCTTAATCGTAGGTCTTCTGAGAGCTCTTTGTGCGAGGCATCATTCTCATCAGGCAATGCTTCTTGTGAAAAGCAAACCCAGAACTGGTGTTTGTTTTTTATAGGGCAGGGCAGCTGTAACCAACACCTCCAATCTCAACTCATTGACTGGACTCCAGTTGGCTGACATCTCACTCCAATTAGCTCTTGGGGATGTCATTAGTCTAGGGGTTCACATACTTTTTCCACCTGCTCTGTGAATGTTTACATGGTGTGTTCAATAAAAAACATGGCAACATTTCATTCTTTGTGTGTTATTAGTTTAAGTAGACTGTGATTGTCTATTATTGTGACTTACATGATGATCAGATCACATTTTATGACCAATTTGTGCAGAAATCCATATCATTCCAAAGGGTTCACATACTTTTTCTTGCAACTGTAACTGAGTCATTCATTAACATGACTGTGCACAGGACAAGAGGTCATCCTTTGAGACTTGAAGAAAGGTGATGTCATCTGCAGCAGAGCAAAGAGCAACAAGAAATATGTAGAATTTTCTCCCTAAAGAGGTTGCTTGATCACATCTGTTAGATATTAAAAAAACAAAAAGGCCTGGATGCTCTTTTGGAAAAAAGAGAACATTCACAGATATAATAGTGAATATGTATGTTTACAGTTTATCTGTGGTAGATATCCAGTTGCTATTTTAGAATCAGGAAGGATTTATTTACTCATTTGTGAAACAATTGTAAAATAACTTGAAACTTTTTGCTGTATTTTGTGTCATCAACAACAAAAAGATGCATGGAAGTCTTTTTGCTCCTGGAGAAATTATTTTGTAAATTCCCTTTTTCAATTTGACTAATAAGAACGCATTCATATATTCACATATTTACATTTGAACTAATTTACTTGAGATTTGGTTACTAATTAGCATGGAGGCGGCATGGATAGCATGGAGGCGGCTAGCTCAGGGATTGTGGAGACAGCCACCCTGGGTTGTGTGCAGGCAGCCACCCGGGGGAGAATGGAGGTGGCAGGCTGGGGCAGCGCGCAAGGGAGCAGTGATCTTCCTGCAGCTCCTCTCTTCTCCTTTCGCTCTGTATAGTGATGCTGGAATATGACGTAATTCCGGCCCCAACATCACTGCAGACAGTTTGAGGGAGCAGAGAGGAGCTGCAGAAAGACCACTGCTCCCTCGCACACAGCAATAGCAGCTCCACTGAACCCCAGGGAAAGTCCTCTCAGCTCTCCCATAGGTAAGGAGGCTAGGTGGATTAAAATGAAAAATATATAGATTTGTGAATGTTAGAGAAAGTGTGTGTCTGTATGTATGCATGCATGTATGTGTGTATGTGTGTTTGCCTCTGTCAATGTGTTTGAGTGTACGTGTGTTTGTCTGTCAGAGAGCGTGTGTCTGTTTAGGTACCTGCCTCCTCTGATCACATGATTGGTGTTTTTACTTGCCTCTTTTCCCACGCCATGCTGGTTTCGCCGTGGCTTGTCCCTCCTCCATAGCTGAGATCTTAATGATAGAAAAGCATAGAAAAGCATTGGGAGGATATTACGCATGTTCTCTATGGGTTACATTTGCGTCTCCTTGCAGAGCACTGACACAGGACTCTCTAGTGGCCATCGTAGTGACTGTCAGTAGAGATCTTAGAAGGCAGCATTGTAAACACTGCATTTTCTCTGAAAAGACAGTGTTTACATTGAAAAGGCTAGATCCATTAATCTGTAGTTGTTCTGGTGACTATAGTGTCCTCAAAAAACTGGCCCCTAACTTTTTTAACTGTTTCCTAGATTCCAAACAAATTTGTCAAGTCCTAGTGTATGGGTCAGCCCGTGTGTGAGGTGGGTTAGTCTGTGTGTGGTGGGGGTCAGTCATTTTGTGTGGGGGTCAGTCTGTGTATGTGGGGTAGCAGTCTGAGTGTGTGTGTGTATGGGTCAGTCTGTGTATGTGTATGGGTCAGTCTCTGGGTTTGTATGGGTCAGTCTGTGTAAGTGCTAGAGCTCCAATAGAGAGACCTCTCATTTCGTGATCTCCCCTGCACCCGATGGATAGGCAGCCTTCTCAACCACCACAGATCTGATTGTACCACCCATTCCCTGCAAGGTAAGATCAGGGAAAGGGGAATATTATTGAAAAAAAAAAAAAAAAATTAATAAAGTTAAAATTGTTCCACTCTCTACACCCCCTGAACATAGTACACCCTCACAGATAGTGAACCCCCCACATACAGTACACTCCCATCAACACGGAGTACACCTTTGCATACACACACAGTGCACCCCTCACACACATCATCTCTTCACCCACATACACACTTCTTCCCCACACACACATGCATGCATACATGCTTCACCCCATTACACACAGAATTTCACATATATATATATATATATATATATATATATGGCCTTGGCCTGTAGTTGTGGGAGGGGCTTGAATTCCCTTTAAAAGGGCTGCCAATCCTCTCCTTACCTTACCATGGACAGTCTGGCGAATCACTTCCTGTCGGACAACCATCTTGGTTTCTTACATGCCTTCCATGGTGGTCCTGGACAGCGTTTGCCATCTCTAATCGCGAGTCTGCAGACGAGTACATTTGTACACCATCTGTATCATACCGGGAGATCAGCCGACCGCCAGGGTCCCTGGTACGTTATATATGCTTTCCGGATATACTACAGACCCCCCACGGCCTCACTTTTCATTGAGGTCTGCGGTATTCTTTGTGAAAATGGGCTGCTTCGGCTCCCGCGCTTAACAGTGATTACAGACGGTTACACTGGTACACCGTCTGTATCACATAAGGGGGATCACACAACCACTGGGATCTCCAGCGTGGCTCTGTGCCCTCCCCCCCCTACGGTGTCACCAGGGCACGGAGTGTACCAACATGCCAGCTCCCCCCCCCTTGTCAAAAAGGGCACGGAGGAGTGTCACATATCGGCTTTTGCCGGCTCCCCACCCATCACTAAGGGGAGTCACGGACCGGCTTCCCCGGGTCTTCTCCTCCTTCTTCCATGAAGAAGGTCACGGGTAGTCACTCACGGGGTCGTTTCAAGGTGCGCTCCCTCCAAGACCGGCGTCGGTCTATTTCCGGCCCTAAAGTGAGATCTCACCACGGCTCTGCAACAGCAGTATAGGCGGGAAATCACAAAGGCAGCTCAAATCCCATCACACTCAGCCACATAAGTGAGTAATAACGACACTGTCAGGGAAACTATGTTCCCACACAATTTTCTGTTTGTATACATGAGGAGGAATATTGGGCATTTCTGATTATGTAATGTCATTTGATGTGATTGTGTGAACTGGTATTGCTGTCTGAAGTTAGGTTCGGCTACATTCCAGCCATTCGTTTACACAATTTCAGGTTGTTTCAGTCTTGTCGCCACCTAGTGGCCTGATTATGTAATGTCATGTCCCTGGTTTTAAGTCATATGTCCCTGTTGGCTTGAAGGTTTTACAGATTCCAAGTAAATGTATTTATGTGTAGGATATTCTAAATATACGGTATTCAGCTGGTTAATTAATTTATCTGTTAGCTGACAATTGTTATGTTGTTCCTACAAGTTCATTGCAGGATATTAAGCTTATGTTTTGTGACATCATTGCTCCAATACTTGGCCTTATTAGGTTGATAATATGGTTATAAGTTGTACTCATTGCAAGTTATTTTATTGGGCATTAACATCTCGCTTTCTTTAGGTACCTCAGTCATGCTGCACGGTTGCTTTACAAGCACTGCAATTCCGTCACCTACCTCTGTCTTCTGCTCATTGCTCATCTTTAGGTTCTGGTAGGTTTTCCGTTTATGGTTCGGGTCCACAATCTGGGCCACTCACATATCCGGTATGCACAGATACTCCCCTTATCATTTTTACTGGGTTGCAGGACGTATCTACTGCCACCCTCTCGCTCCTATTTTTCTGCATGTGATCTCGTCCTGACTCAAACTTTATCAGGCACGTTTTCACAACCCCGTACTTTCTATTTAGAGTGTTACTGGCTTTTGAGATTTAGGTTACCCAACTAGGTTTCTGTTTTCCGATCTTAATCCATACGTTAGTGGTCCCGTGAGGCCAACACCCATCCTCATACTCGGAGGTATACACCCAAATCATAGGTAGCCGCCTCGCATTATTGCATAGGGAGGGCCTCCCATGTCACTCCCATTCTATCTTATGCTTTAGTTGCCACCGGGAGGCCAACACGTTTCGGTGGCCTCAAAAATCACCTTGGGCCAACTCATAGTTAGCGCCTCTCACGCCACTTGGCAATTAGTAGGGACTCATCTGTCATGTTAAGTTAGCTTAATTCTTCGCCGCTTGGCTTCTAGCTAGCCTGCCAGAACCCGGTCCCTTCTGTTTTGTATCATGTTCCAGAGGGACTGGTGGTTCTAGTTCAGGTAGGTTGTTACACGTGTTGTGCTTTTTATTCCCGGGCTCATGCTAATTCAATGTGTCCGTATAAAGTTTTCCTAAATCCTCACTACACTGGCATCAACGTCACGTTATTGGCTAAGCTTTTACAATATCATTGTAGCGTTACTCACCTTCTCCAGGGGCCGGCCGCGGTCCTCTCTTCGAGCCGCGCGCGGTCCTGCTGCTGCACGAGCCGCGCACGGCTCATCCGACGGCCTCAGCAGGAAGGCGGGCAGTGACCGCGAGAAGCGGTCACGTGTCCCGCCTGAATCTAAGAGCGCGCTGCGAGTCTCGGACGCGCTCTTAAAGAGACAGTGGGAGCCTAAATTGTTAAAAGGCTCCCATTGGCCCCTGTCATGCCACACTCCCCATACACTTACCTTTTGGGGGTGTGGATATGACAGGAGCCAATCACATTAGTTTAGAAGCTATATATACTTACCTCTCCCTTTACTCCCTGCCCTATCGTGGTTTCTGTATCAGTTCCCTTTAGCGCTTGTTGTGTTCAGTTGTGTTTCTCCGTTTTGACTTTGGCTTTGTTTCTGACTACGTTTTCTCTTTATCCTTATCTGTTCTGGTTGTCGGCTTGCTGTTTACTGTGTACCAGACCCCGGCTTGTCCTAGTTTACGCTGTCTCTCTGTGTCCTTGACTTCGGATCGTTCCTGACTCTGCCTCCTCTCATATACGTCGAGTCCGGCCATTCTAAGGTCCGGTAGACGTATCTCTCTCTGTGTTGTCTTCTGTTTAGCCGAATCCTGCGTGTTGGGGTATATTCTCGTTACATTACGATAGGGCCATGGACCCCGCAGATTTGGCTCAGCAAATGGCTTCTCACGAGGCAAGGTTTGTAGAACAGGATCATCGTATGGATCAGATAGCACAGGCTCTCCAGACGCTCTTGTCTAGAACTATTCCTGCAACCGCACCTAACCCTCCTACACCCCCTCCTCCCGAAGTATCCAATTCACCCAATACTTTGCCCCATTTAACACCTCCTCCTAGGTATGGAGGGGAAGCCAAGACATGCTTTTATTAATCAAATAGAATTCCACCTTGAGATGTATCCTCATTCCTTTCCCACTGATAGGTCTAAAGTGGGGTTTTTGATACATCAACTTACTGACAAAGCACTTGAGTGGGCAAATCCTATTTGGGAGGCCAATGGACCTATGGTGCATAATTTCAATAGCTTTCTTACGGCTTTTCGTAGAACTTTTGACACAACAAAAAGGTCAAAGAATGCCGCCAGAGCATTAATGAGAATTAAACAGGGGTCTAGGTCTGTGGCTGATTATGCTATTCAGTTTCGTACCCTTGCTTCACAGGTAGATTGGACCAATAATGGGTTAACTACTGCGTTCATGGAAGGTTTATCGGACACTATATTAGATGAGGTAGCGGCAAGGGAGCTTCCTATTCCATTAGAGGACCTTATTGACTACCTCATTGATATAGATAATAGAATTCGTGACCGGCTCTATACCAAGAACAGGAATAGACGTGTAGTCACACCTACTAACCCCAGAGTTGATAAACCTGAGAGTGTTAAAGTATCCGAGGAGGAACCCATGCAATTAGGGGTTGCCAAACTCTCAGATACTGAAAAACTACTTAGAAGAAGGAACGGACTCTGCCTATACTGTGGAGGGTCATGAGGAATTCGAAGTCTCTGCTGTTCTTGACTCTCGTTACCTTAGGGGTCGACTTCAGTACTTGGTGCATTGGAAGAGTTATAGGCGTGAGGAGCGCAGTTGGATTTCAGCTGATGCTGTTCACGCTCCCTGCCTTGTGCGTTCTTACCATTCTCGTTTTCCTGCCAGGCCTGGCCCTACCCGCCCAGAGGGCGTGTCCTCAGGGGGGGGTACTGTAGCGTTACTCACCTTCTCAAGGGGCCGGCCGTGGTCCTCTCTTCGAGCCGCACGCGGTCCTGCTGCTGCACGAGCCGCGCGCGGCTCATCCGACGGCCTCAGCAGGAAGGCGAGCAGTGACCGCAAGAAGCGGTCACGTGTCCCGCCTGAATCTAAGAGCGCGCCGCGAGTCTCGGGCGCGCTCTTAAAGAGACAGTGGGAGCCTAAATTGTTAAAAGGCTCCCATTGGCCCCTGTCATGCCACACTCCCCATACACTTACCTTTTGGGGGTGTGGATATGACAGGAGCCAATCACATTAGTTTAGAAGCTATATATACTTACCTCTCCCTTTACTCCCTGCCCTATCGTGGTTTCTGTATCAGTTCCCTTTAGCGCTTGTTGTGTTCAGTTGTGTTTCTCCGTTTTGACTTTGGCTTTGTTTCTGACTACGTTTTCTTTTTATCCTTATCTGTCAATGTTTTTAAATTACTTCCCATTCACCCTTCACTATGACATCTGCACTGCATTTACGTGACATGGGCTTTATTATTTCTCACGACTCACTTTTAGCTTCAAGTGCAGCCCCAGAATCTGTGCTGCTTGGCTGATACTTTGTGTATGTTATGGGGGTTGGCTGCTGGGGGCCAAATAATACAATACACAAGATCCAGCGCACTCACCTATCCACTAAACAGCAACTTCAATATTGAAAGATTTTATTAGTTTTTTTATTGCTGTTTAGTGGATAGGTGAGTGCGCTGGATCTTGTGTATTGTATTATTTGGCCCCCAGCAGCACCCCCATTTATGCGTGTTCAGGTGAGTTCAGCCAACCACCCCCTTGTTTCATATATATATATATTTGGGAGTCTAGCCAACTCCTTGGTTTTGCACCCCTCCCTGTCACAGGTGCCTCATCCCAGGGCCCTATTTAGCCTTGTACTGCAGAGAGCCCCAGATGGAATTTTTTTCCACAAGTAAGTGGGTTAATCTCATAAGAGCAGACATTAGGCTGTTAGTGTAGGACCTGCCAAAGATGGGGTACATTGACGTTGTGGCAGGCTTATGCAATGTATGATCATATAATGTAACTAAACCCCATTATTTTTGCCTAGATTAGGTGTTTTTAAAAAAACAAATAAAATCTTTCAACATTGAAGTTGCTGTTTAGTGGATAGGTGAGTGCGCTGGATCTTGTGTATTGTATATTTGGCCCCCAGCAGCACCCCCATTTATGCATGTTCAGGTGAGTGCAGCCAACCCCCCCTTGTTTCATATGTATATATGTGGGAGTCTAGCCAACTCCTTGGTTTTGCACCCCTCCCTGTCCCCTCAGGAGATTTTTTCAAGTAAGTGGGTTAATCTCATAAGAGCAGACATTAGGCTGTTAGTGTAGGACCTGCCAAAGATGGGGTACATTGACGTTGTGGCAGGCTTATGCAATGTATGATCATATAATGTAACTAAACCCCCATTATTTTTGCCTAGATTAGGTGTTTTTAAAAAAACTAATAAAATCTTTCAACATTGAAGTTGCTGTTTAGTGGATAGGTGAGTGCGCTGGATCTTGTGTATATTATATATATTCTACAGCTCCTTGATAACCCCAATACACACACACGCACAATGCGGCCCCTAAATGCATACGCACACACTTTACATGCCCTCTCAGCACACACAATCTCAAAAGCTCCATGAGTACATGCTAACACTAGAGCCCATAGTTACACAAAGTACACCATAAACAGACTCCTCTATACACATACTTCACCACAAACCCTTTTAAACACCATGAAAAATTATCTTACATCTCCTGAAAAAGTTTTACAGTTTCCATAAAAAAGGTGTCTCGTCTGTAATAAGGAAGGTGCAGCAGTGTAACTAGAGGGAGTGCTGGTGCTGCTGTTACACTGGTGCCCATCGAGTGGGCCGTGCAATTAGGGCCACTCGATGGGCATGTGTCTTTAGGGGCTCAAAACAGTTCACATGCTCTGCCCCTGCATGGAAGATCACCTCCCCGTGCGCAAGCCCCATCCTTAATCTTTGACTGAGACACACACTGACAGACATACACACATTCTGACAGACATACAGTGACTGGCACACACTCTCTGACTGAGACACACACTGAGACACATACACACACACACACACACACATTTTGTCACAAATTGCTATTTTTATTTTTATTTAAATCCACCCAGCCTCCCTACCTTTGCGAGAGCTGAGTGGATCTTTCCCTGGTGTCCAGTGTGTCTCCTCTCAATCTTCCTGCAATTTCTCTCTGCTCCCCTGCGTGCTCTCTGTAGTGATGCCAGAGCCGGAGTGACTTCATGCCACTAAACAGCACACGAGGGAGCAGACAGGAACTGCAGGAAGGTTACTGCTCCCTGCGTTGGCCGGCTTTAATGTTTCCTGCAGGGCTGACAAATGCCAGGCACCAGGGTTCAATGTCTTGTCGACCTGGCACCTGGAATTTGTCAAGCTTTGTGTATGTATGTGCGTGTATATATGTGTGTATATATATATATATATATATATATATATATACGCACACACATATATACACATTTTATAACTGCTCCCCTACTTTTGTCCCTGGCCCCCCATGTGCCCCCCCTAAGTATGAATCCTGGAGACGCCATTGACTATTTTGTCTTATGGAGGTTTCCTACGCCTTCCCACAATTCTTATCTTTCCTTTGTGATCTTACGATGCTTCCTGCCAGTATTCCAGAATGTCCTGTCACTTAGACAGAACGCCGATAAAACTACCGAATTTCGTCCTACCAGAATGAGAACAGTTTCTCCATTTGTGTCAGGACGCAATTCGGGACTTTGTTCGGATCGGAATTTCATTTGATCGGATTCGTGGGGCGGCTGCATCTTGCAGCCGCTTAGTAGATAATTCCCTAATTCCCATGGTATTAGTGAGCTATCTACCAAAAGGCTGAAAGATCTAAATTGGTCTTGCGGCCAAATTTACTAATACTAAGTGAAGATTACTTAGTATTAGGAAATTCTGCCCCTTCTCGCTATATCGCATATTAGGGGCATGTCTACTAAACTAAACAGTGAGCAGTCTGTGGCTGCTCACTGTTAAAAAAACAAACAAAAAATACCCTAGTGTCGCCTCTCCCGAGCCCCCACCTGTGCCACATGAGTGGGGGCTATTAAACTGAAGGGGGACCCCCCCTACAAATGAGCAGCGGGTGCGGTCCCTGAATGAAAATGGGGGGGAACCTATTGCCCTCCCTCTCAGCCTCCGCCCATGAGCAGCAGGTGGGGGCCCTAAATGAAAATGGGGGGGGACCTATTGCCCCCCTCCGGTTCCCAACCATGAGCGGCGGGTAGGGCCCTAAATGAAAAGTGATCTAACAGGTAAATGAAAAGACTGACAGGTAAGTCTCTACATTTAGCTGTCACAGCACTCTGATTGATTGAGTGCTTTGTGTCATTTTACACAGCATGGGAAAATTCCAAAGAACAATAGGACCACCCCCCATTTTCATTTAGGGCCCAAACCCGCTGCTTATGGGTGGGAGCCGGGAGGGAGGACAATAGGTCCCCCCCTTATTGTAATTTAGGACCCCCATCCGCCGCTCATGGGGGGACACACACCAGGGGGCTTTTTTTTAACAGTGAACACTGTTTAGTAGATATGTCCCTACATGTGGCATAGCGAGTAGGGGCATACAGGAGATTTTAATCTCCTTTATGCTATTGTGACGGTCATATTGACACCCATAGAGTGAGGAAGGACATGGGGTGCTTAGGAAGTGGTGGGGAGCACTGCTCCCTGATGCTTCTATTTTTACATATTACAAGGAGGGAGCTGCGCGCCGGTAGCTCCCTCCTTGTAATAAAGCAAACGAACGAATGAAGAGGTCTTCGTTAATTTATTCTATTTATTCGTCTTTCTGACAAATTATTGAATAGATTCAATTCCCGTTCGCATGCCCAAGTGTTTAACTGGCATGCGCGGGTTTTCACAGTGCTATCTAGTGTGGGTAGATGCCCCCATGAACAGTCTGTACACTGTGATACCACATGAAGAGGGCATTGAGGCTATGAGGAAATTACTCTCAAGTTCTACTTATTATCATGGACCCCCGATTGAATATACTATGGAATTATTGTCGCTGGCCTTACGGAATAACTATTTCCGTTTTGAAACGAAATGGTTTCTACAGATCTCTGGCACATTCATGTGGGGCAATAGATGACATCTTGATTCTGTGGAGAGGAACACATGCTGAAGCAGTGGCTCTTATTGAATATATTAATGAGTTGTCCACTCCAATTAAAGTTACCTCAAAAATTGACACCGAAAATGTCCAATTCCTTGATGTTGAATTGTCAGTAACCAATCAGAAACTGGAGTATAGATTATACACCAAACCCAGTGACCGTAATGCCATCTTACATTCTGAAAGTTTTCATCCGCAACATTTAAAAAATTAATTACCATTATCACAATTTTTGAGGGTATATCGTAATAATTCCCAGGAAGAACAACACGAGAAACAACTGAAAACTATGTACTTGAAGTTTACAAAAAGAGGATATAAACAATCGATATTGGAAAACGCCTTGCTTAAAGCTAAAGAACAGCATAATAAGGGACTAGCACCCCAAAAGGAACTTCAAACAAGAACAATTTTCCCAATGAAATTACATTCTGCAAGTAAGAAGATCACTGAATCTATTACTCGAAATTGGAATATACTAAAACAGGATCCGACGCTCCCTAAAGAATTAACACAAGAACGATGTTTTGTTACAAGAGGAACAAGAACTTAAGGGACTTATTAGTAAAAACGGACCCTATCCATTGTTATAAACCATCTACAATGGAGAAAAATAATGGTTGTGTCAGATGTTTAGGGTGTGTGACCTGTGGCCACATAATTCCCTCTAAGATTTTCTCCCATCCTCACACGGGTAAGATCTATAAAATTGCCCACAGAATACATTGTCGCACAGAGTTTGTCATATATAAACTTACATGTCCATTGTGGACAAAGTTATATTGGCAAGACTGAGACAGCTCTTTGCGAGAGAATTAGAGGCCACCGGTCAAGTATCCGCTTGGCCTACTGTGATGGTAAGTCGGATAAACCTGTAGCCAGACATTTTTTAGAGAAAAACATCAACTCTCTACCTTAAGATGTGTGGCGATTGATCATATCCCGGTGGCAGCGAGAGGAGGAAATTGAGCCAAATTTGTATTGCAAAGAGAGACTTACTGGATATTGGAACTTAATACATTATCCCCGAAAGGCTTAAATGAAAAATGCTCATTTACTCAATTTTTATAAATATTCCTTGTAACTGTAACGAGAATATACCCCTACACGCAGGATCCAGCTAAACAGAGGCAAATACAGAGGAGAGATACGTCTACCGGACCTTAGAATGGCCGGACTCGACGTATATGAGAGGAGACAGAGCCAGGAACAAACCGAGGTCAAGGGCACAGAGAGAAAGCGTAAACTAGGACAAGCCGGGGTCTGGTACACGGAAAACAGCAAGCCGGCAAACAGTACAGATAAGGATAAAGCGAAAACGAAGTCAGAATACGAAGCCAAAGTCAAAACGAGAAAACACAACTGAACACCACAAGCGCTAAAGGGAACTGAAACAGAAACCACGATAGGGCAAGGAACAAAGGGAAGAAGGTGAGTATAAATACCTAAACATCTAATTTGATTGGTCCCTGTCACATCCACGCCCCCAAAAGGTAAGTGTATGGGGAGTGTGGTATGACAGGG